CATCTCATATTGACGCAATCAACAATTAGATAATATTATTCGATACTATTCACTTTATACGGTCCGGAAGAAATAAAGCTAAAAACCAAAAGAAATATCCCTAGGCATAGTATATAGAACATATATATAGTATATTAGGTCTCAGATAGCGTGTATTAGGCCTAGGGTGGTTAGGTTAGGTTTTATTCGCAGCATTAACAAAACGTTTTCCGGTTTGTCAAAGTTCAACAGTACCAGTTTCTAACTGTCCATTACGTCAATATATGTACTATGGTCCATATCGTTACCATAAGTACTATCTCAATAAGAGGATGGGCTGGCTTGTCCGGAGTTGTGTAAATTTGCGTTCATTATATTCAGTTATAAAACAATTAATTAAATGACATTATCACGTAACTGTGTTTTTTAATTGATAGCATTGTTTCAATTACAATAAAATTGTACCGATTTCTACGTCAAATATTATGTAAGGCTATAGATTAGGCTTCAATAAATTCGATATGATAGATATGAAGTGTATATCAATGTCTCAACCACAAGTAATTCATTAATGGTCACTTTTATGATTATAAATGTAAAATACGCAACTTTCTGTTGCTATTTATATTGATAATTGGCACCGCCCTACTTCGCATGGGCCAAGAGGCCATCTGTAGTTTCATCCACTTGTTATGTTCCAATGTCTATATTACCGAGAAGGAACCACTAACATATCACCGTACTTCACTATTCTTTCTACTAATCCACATTTTGAAGTGAAGAATATAATATTTCTTATTATATATATTATAAGAAAACACTGGGTAGCCAAACAAACTCGAGGCAAAAACATTATGGCTCTTAAACTCGTACCCAGAAGCAAATACGTCTTCTAGTGACCTCCGTGAGAGCAGAGCCAGCAGCCCATCACGCCCCGAGAGCACACCAACACTCCCCACCTGACGGCACCTCTCGGCCAAGCCGGCGCCGGATGCCATCTCCCTGCCCGGAAAACCAACAGAAAAAACGGAAAAACTATCAACTTCCCTGTAACTCGAGGTGATAAGTGCGCATACAGGTGTCGTATCAATCCAGGCCGTTGACAAAGTCCAATATCAGAAACTGCGTCGCGTCGCGTGGTCCGACAGGCCGCAGACAAAGCTGACATCTACTGGTCGTCAAGTTTGTACCTTCACTCTATCCGTAATGGTGCTCAAGTGTACACAAAGCTCCCATGTGGTGCGCCTAGAGTTGTTTGTAAACATATAGGACGTCACAATGTATTCCTCCGCTTGACCACATGATCAAGTGGTCAAATAATATTTACCGCCAGAACACGACCCCATCTTGTAGTCTACCTTGGTCGTGCTCGCTAAAGCGTAGCATTCAGCTTGGTACGGGTATACTCTGGATTTTATTATGATATTAAAGGAAGCAAAAATACAACTATATTTAATACAATATTTATTATTAATAGGACTTACAATAAATAACAATCACATTAATAATTAAGTTGTCAGCATTTTAAATGTTTCAGCATTCATCATAAACTTGCAAAAGTGAAAGAGACACTTAAACACTACATAAGATGAGCCCAGAGCAGCTTGTAAGTAGTTTGAGATTATATATAGTCGACCATAAGTATAAAGTGTGAGTTAATATCTCAAAAATCTAAGTGAAGCCCAAAATCTAGATGATTTCGAGTGTAAAGTTATTTTTTGATGGTCTCGAGAACTTATGAATTTTAAAGTTCACGAGAGATTGTAAATAACTGAGAGATTTGTTATAGCAGTGGATGAACAAATATTTTAAGCGAAACTCATAATTCTGGAAGATGAGTAACTTAGTCCGTGAAGATCGTAGAATTCAGTAACTATTGTAGGTGTGAATTTAGGAACTATCGTATGAGTTACTTCAGGAACTATCGTAAGTGGCAATTTAGGATCTATCGTAGATGAAATTTAGGAACTATCGTAAGTGACGAAACTATGAATGGCAACACAAATGAGATTACTAACACTTACTAATCCACTAGGCTACACTTACTATTCATGAATATATCGAAAAACGTAGCGGACCATATTTATATCGGGTCATTCATAACTGGACAGTATTGCTAGACAACAAAGACCTATACAGTTTAATTAATAACAATCCCCTTGGATAAGGTCACGCGAAATATCTTAGAACACTACTATGTACACGCTTGTAAAGCCTCAACAGACACAGAAAAATATAACACAAACTCGGTTAACATGGAAGAGCTTGTATGTGTACATAGGAATATGTTAAGATTCTTAACATGTATTTACATATTGGAAGACATCAGTTTCATAGAGCATATCAAAGGCATCTCATACTGGAAGACTCGGTTACATGAAGCACTATGCACAGACATGGTCTTGATGCAAGGCCCTATACCTCCACCAAGGCCTGCTAGGTGAGGATATGGATAGACGGTCTAGAGAAGCCGAATATATACCCATAAACAGTGGAACGGTTTTAGCTTTAATTATAGAAAACCCAAGTATGGGGGAAACTTCGGCACTCGCACTTTGCAGAAACCTTAAGTATAGCGAAGCCTTGGGTCTCGTACTTTGCAGAAACCTTAAGTATAGCAAAACCTTGGCACTCGTACTCTGCAGTAATCCCAAGGATTGTGAAGCCTTGGTATTCGACTCTACAGAAATCTCAAGGATAGCGAAGCCTTGGTACTCGTACTCTGCAGAAACCTTAAGTATAGCAAAGCTTGGTACTCGTACTCTGCAGAAACCTTAAGTATAGCAAAGCTTGGCACTCGTACTCTGCAGAAACCTTAGCAATAGTGAAGCCTTGTTACTTGTACTCTGCAGAAACCTTAAGTATAGTGAAGTCTAAGTACATGTGTTCCGCAGAAACCTTAAGAATAGTGAAGCCTCGGTACTCATACTATGCAGAAACCTCAAGTATACTGAGGCCTTCATACTTGTACTCTGCAGAAACCTCAAATATAGTAAAGCTTCGGTACTCGTACTCTTCAGAAACCTCAAGCATAGCAAAGCCTCGGTACTCGTACTCTGCAGAAACCTCAAGTATAGCAAAGCTTCGGTACTCGTACTCTGCGGAAACCCGTGTTGCTCCAAACATTTTCTTTATGAAGGCGACCGACGTAGATGCAGACGGAAGAGGTAAACAGACCACGAAGCGAAGTAATATAGTAGAGATCACGCAATTATTAATATTATATATATATATTTTGTTTTTGCAAATGTCTCTCATATTACATACAATTCTTTGATGAGGTTGGAAGGCGCGTCAAGACCTTCTGAACTCACTAGTAGCGTTGTGCTTTCCTCGTCTCTGCTTTCACTCGTATGACTTATATGATTTTCTTTATTATACGTTGTAGTAGGGAGTTCACAATCCGGAGACGCACCTGCTGCTAATTTACCGGATATATCATTATTTTCATGTTCAAGATCACTAGTTACAGGATCGATATCCTGCCCTTCTGGTCGATTAATGTCACTATGCTCCCACGTGGTATCGCGAGCGTCGCGTTTTCTACGCTTAGGCAGGGTGCTGGAACTCTCGATACACAGGACAATGAGGCGGTTATCACAGGCGACCTTCTGCTGGTCGAGCAGCTTGAGAGAGTGAAGAGCCGCGGCCATTCCGAAGGTGCTGGAGGAGGCGCTGGACCAGGCGTTGCAGTTGTGGCTGAGCAGAGACTCCCCGTACCTGTTGGAGCCGTGCCACACGTACTTCACCGGCCTGGTGGAGCACAGAACATGTTAGACACATGGATGTCACTCTAAATATTTTGAGCTGTGTAAATACTGAGAGGTGTAAATATTTGGTAAATACTGGAGGAGTGTAGATATTTGTGAGTTATAAATATTTCACTTAAGGAAAATGTGCGAATTGAACATCTTGACTATATATATATATATATATATATATATATATATATATATATATATATATATATATATATATATATATATATATATAGCCTATACTTGCATAAACCACAAGTGAAGATAAACAATCTTTGGACAACACCCACCAGTGGGACTCGAACCCAGAAAGCACAACTACCTTCCAGTAGCTGGCATAACTAGTATGCTTTAACCCACTACGCCATCAGACCTTACAAAAGAAGTAGATAGTTCGAGATATATATATCTCAAACATCTCTACCTCCCGAAGGCACCAGATGAGTGAGGGGTCAGTCTGCAATTTTCGTCAAGCCACTGTCAATGTGAGAGAACTCGTGTCCAGCTTATAAGCCTATACTTGCATAAACCACAAGTGAAGATAAACAATCTTTGGACAACACCCACCAGTGGGACTCGAACCCAGAAAGCACAACTACCTTCCAGTAGCTGGCATAACTAGTATGCTTTAACCCACTACGCCATCAGACCTTACAAAAGAAGTAGATAGTTCGAGATATATATATCTCAAACATCTCTACCTCCCGAAGGCACCAGATGAGTGAGGGGTCAGTCTGCAATTTTCGTCAAGCCACTGTCAATGTGAGAGAACTCGTGTCCAGCTTATAAGCCTATACTTGCATAAACCACAAGTGAAGATAAACAATCTTTGGACAACACCCACCAGTGGGACTCGAACCCAGAAAGCACAACTACCTTCCAGTAGCTGGCATAACTAGTATGCTTTAACCCACTACGCCATCAGACCTTACAAAAGAAGTAGATAGTTCGAGATATATATATCTCAAACATCTCTACCTCCCGAAGGCACCAGATGAGTGAGGGGTCAGTCTGCAATTTTCGTCAAGCCACTGTCAATGTGAGAGAACTCGTGTCCAGCTTATAAGCCTATACTTGCATAAACCACAAGTGAAGATAAACAATCTTTGGACAACACCCACCAGTGGGACTCGAACCCAGAAAGCACAACTACCTTCCAGTAGCTGGCATAACTAGTATGCTTTAACCCACTACGCCATCAGACCTTACAAAAGAAGTAGATAGTTCGAGATATATATATCTCAAACATCTCTACCTCCCGAAGGCACCAGATGAGTGAGGGGTCAGTCTGCAATTTTCGTCAAGCCACTGTCAATGTGAGAGAACTCGTGTCCAGCTTATAAGCCTATACTTGCATAAACCACAAGTGAAGATAAACAATCTTTGGACAACACCCACCAGTGGGACTCGAACCCAGAAAGCACAACTACTACCTTCCAGTAGCTGGCATAACTAGTATGCTTTAACCCACTACGCCATCAGACCTTACAAAAGAAGTAGATAGTTCGAGATATATATATCTCAAACATCTCTACCTCCCGAAGGCACCAGATGAGTGAGGGGTCAGTCTGCAATTTTCGTCAAGCCACTGTCAATGTGAGAGAACTCGTGTCCAGCTTATAAGCCTATACTTGCATAAACCACAAGTGAAGATAAACAATCTTTGGACAACACCCACCAGTGGGACTCGAACCCAGAAAGCACAACTACCTTCCAGTAGCTGGCATAACTAGTATGCTTTAACCCACTACGCCATCAGACCTTACAAAAGAAGTAGATAGTTCGAGATATATATATCTCAAACATCTCTACCTCCCGAAGGCACCAGATGAGTGAGGGGTCAGTCTGCAATTTTCGTCAAGCCACTGTCAATGTGAGAGAACTCGTGTCCAGCTTATAAGCCTATACTTGCATAAACCACAAGTGAAGATAAACAATCTTTGGACAACACCCACCAGTGGGACTCGAACCCAGAAAGCACAACTACCTTCCAGTAGCTGGCATAACTAGTATGCTTTAACCCACTACGCCATCAGACCTTACAAAAGAAGTAGATAGTTCGAGATATATATATCTCAAACATCTCTACCTCCCGAAGGCACCAGATGAGTTCTCTCACATTGACAGTGGCTTGACGAAAATTGCAGACTGACCCCTCACTCATCTGGTGCCTTCGGGAGGTAGAGATGTTTGAGATATATATATCTCGAACTATCTACTTCTTTTGTAAGGTCTGATGGCGTAGTGGGTTAAAGCATACTAGTTATGCCAGCTACTGGAAGGTAGTTGTGCTTTCTGGGTTCGAGTCCCACTGGTGGGTGTTGTCCAAAGATTGTTTATCTTCACTTGTGGTTTATGCAAGTATAGGCTTATAAGCTGGACACGAGTTCTCTCACATTGACAGTGGCTTGACGAAAATTGCAGACTGACCCCTCACTCATCTGGTGCCTTCGGGAGGTAGAGATGTTTGAGATATATATATCTCGAACTATCTACTTCTTTTGTAAGGTCTGATGGCGTAGTGGGTTAAAGCATACTAGTTATGCCAGCTACTGGAAGGTAGTTGTGCTTTCTGGGTTCGAGTCCCACTGGTGGGTGTTGTCCAAAGATTATATATATATATATATATATATATATATATATATATATATATATATATATATATATATATATATATATATATATATATATATAAAGTGTACATGGTAAATTATTATAAAAGGCAGGAAATGTTCCTCAGGAATATTAACTAACCTCAGAGAAAGAAAGGTTAGGCTCGCAAGAACTAAAAAAAAACGTCGAGTGAGAAAGATAGTGAGAGAAAGGGAGTGGGGGGGGGGAGGGATAGGTCTCTCACCAGGAGCTGTCGGTCAAGACGTCTCTGCCGTCGAAGGAGACTATCCTCGGCTGCTCCAGGAACTGTCCACCTTCCCCGGACACAACGTCCCGCCAGGAGCCCAGGACCTGCTCCCCCTGTGGGGAAAAAATAACTCCTTGAGTATCCAGCTGTGGAAGGCCCTGTAATGGCTTACCTGTACTCGTCTAGTTGTGTCAGGTGAGTACCTTGTCACAGTAGCAGCTACTGTCCCTTGTCACAGTAGCAGCTACTGTATGTTAAAACAGTAGTAGCCATCAACCTATAGTTGTTAAACTGGAACCCATTAATCTGTTCAAACACAAATTAAATATTAAATTTAATATTTATTTTAAAAATCAAATTATCATATCAAATATTGATTAATTAAACGAGTGAAGCGGGTTAATGTTTACTCATATGACGTCATGGTTTTCCAGATTTCTGATTGGTTTATATAAAGCTCATAACAATGGCGTCACTTACTTGGAGGTTGATGATTGGCTGTTGCCGGTCAGCAAAGCGGACCAACGAGGCGACATCATGTCTTGGACCAGATAGCATCGCTCTGGTAAACAAAACAGAGTTCGCACTCGCACTAGCTACACCTTATTTGAACTCACATATATATATATATACAATATTTCCAACTAAAGAGACATGTATATAGTGAGTAGAGAGTACCTGAAGGAGCCCCTGAGCCCAGCTGTGCGGGCCTGCCTGTAGCAGGCGTAGTCGGCGGAGGACACGCCCCTGGTGTTGCCCGCCCACGGCTCGTTCAGCGCCGCCACTCTCAGCTGTTCACATGGGAGGGAGAGAGAGAGCTCTTACTCTATAATCCTACACTTCAATACAACGATATATTCAATGAAACCAATACTGAATACATGGGTATACTGTATAACTAGAATACATAATACAATGATATAATGTAGAATATAATGTACACAGTATAATACAATAAAATATAATACAGAATACATTGCTATACTGTATTATACATTAACAGAATACAATATACTGTACAATACAATAAATAGAATACAATGCTATACTGTATAATACAATACAATGATATACTGTATTATACAATAAAATATAATACAGAATACAATATACTGTATAATACAATAAAATAGAATACAATGATATGCACTGAAATACAGCACAATAAACAATACAAGACATGCTATGTAATACAGCAAAATAAAATAGAATAAAATGATATACAATACTATACAGTCAAATAAACTTAATAATAATATACAATAAAGTAAAATCCTAATATAAAATATTCTATACAATTCAATAGCAACAAATAAAATAGAATACGAAATACAATACAATACAGTATAATATAACTAAATATAATGATTTACAATACATTACAGTCGCTAAAGAGTCGTCTTAATTAAAAAAAAATATTGCCTAATTATGAAGTTCTTTGAATTCCAAATTTGTTTAAGAAATAATATTTACATATAATATGAGAAATTGTATAAGAAATCCATTGTTTATTTAAGAGAATGATTTGTATATTTATAAAAATATTCGGGTGATTTTTTTTAAATCAAAGATTTAGGTATTGAAGGCAGAGGCTTATGGGAAATTTATGTGAGGCTCATGTGAGGTTAATGTGAGGCTTATAACAAGACTTGGTGTGGGGAAAGAGGGTAGAAATACCAGCTGGGATTCTGGGATTAAATTCTTGGAAAATGCCAGCTGGGATTCTGGGATCAAATTCTTGTGAAATACCAGCTGGATTGTCATTAAATATTTGGGATTTGCCATTAGGCTATCATTATATTTTTACGCAATACCATTTAAACACCGGGGAAATATCCCATTTAAATGGAGGAGGGAATATACTATTAAAATGTGGAAAGTACAACATGGCACTATATGTGTGGAAATTCAAAACACTGTAACATTTATACAGGTTGGGATATACCAGCTAGGGTGCCATTGAATATTTGGGCTATATCAGCATGAGGATATGTGCCTCTGAAAATTCCATAAAAGTTAAGTCCACAAATCCCTAATAAATGCGTTTGGAAAACTTAATATACGCATTTAGAAATGCCTTAAGCTTACAATAAGCTTATTGTTAGCTTAAGTGGTAAGTCCTTATAAGTGGTAAAATCCTGAAGGCAGGAACAAGTCATATATAATACAAGATGAGAGATTAGCACTAAATCATTCTATATTCATTCTTTATGGCTATAATGGACATACCTCCTTTAAGTTCCATAGTTCGTTCTTCATTTAGAAAGAGAAATAAATAGTTGGGTTAGTTTATGGTAATTAAAGTTAACTCATTAAATTAAAAAATATAATCTACCAGTTCGAACATATTTGTCATTAGGTTGAAATTTATTTATATAAATCTATATAGATGTACATAACTTATTGAATTTAAAATTTTAACGGAATCTCAATAACCCGTCCTTTCCTAATACGTCACATTTTGTTACGGAATCGACCGATTCGTTAAAAAACGTAACGCATTAGTCTAAAATTTAAAACACCGTAATATTAATGTTTCCATGCATCGGGTTTGGTGGATTTCGTACGCTTCTGGTTAGGCAAAACTGATGCATTATTTACGGAATGGCAACTCGAGAGGACGACCTGACCAATCCAGCTCCTTCCCGCCAAACACACGACGGAACTACAACTTTCGAACAAGGTTTAACGCCTTCTAAAAATTATAACAACCAATATAGCAAGTTGTAACAACGTTCTAACACGTCATAAAAACATTATAACAAGATGTAACAAGTGAATGATAGGGACCGTTACGTTGTGTGTTTGCAGGGTATAATTGTTTACATAGGCTACATAACTGCATGCTAACAGTTAACCAATACTCAGAAAGATAGACTAACACATGCTTGCACATGTCTGCACGTGAAACCTTCACAGTTCCCGCTGTACCTTTATTTACATTCAAAATTAATTTAAAGCAAACACATATATACATAGTGTATAAATATATTTTTGTTAAAGTTATTATAATTATGTTTTTTCTATAGATAAATTTGTTTCTATATTTGTTAATTGTTGGGTTAACTGGATTGTTTCAAGCGTAGGTTAGAAATATATATGAACGAATTTGGGTGGATATAAATAGGAGCTGCAGTTCCCTATATATTTTCATGTTTTAAGGTTTCATGTGGACTTTCTATTTGTAAAATAAGTTTTAATATATTTACTCTAACTTATAAAACAATTACTACTCATGCAGGGAGGGAGGAACGTAGGAGATATTGACACATTTTACTTTAATAATAACGGGAATACAGAATGTGAACAATGATATTATTTACATCTACCTCTGTGTCTGTAGTCAATGGTTCTCCCCACTGTAAAGAGAGAAGTGTGTTAGTGCGCTATAATGGAGGTGTCTCAGTGTTACACTGTGCTATAGCGAGTGAGTTACACTGTATTTGAGTATTACACTGTTATAACGAGTGAGTTACACTATATTTGAGTGTTACACTGTGCTAGTGAGCAAGTCACACTAGGTGTCACAAAACAAAAGAAGTTGGGTTCACGATACTTCAGTCAGTAACTAACTCATTACATTCTACATAAATCATGGTTTGACCCCTGTGTTAGAACTGACGATGACATCCCTCCATACTGACGTGTTGGACTGTTGTCTAGGAACATATGGAGCCCAATGACATTCGAAAAGGTTCATCATATAAGTTTATGTAATAATAGTAAATGGCAAGCTTATTATGAAGTTTTATCAGCCTCAATTTGTTGTCAAGATGGGGTACGCACGCACGCGCGCACGCACATACACGCAGGTCCTCGCAGCTGAGTAGACAGTGGCCAGGGGTCGTAGGGCTCGAGTTAGATTCCCGGCCTAGACGGAAACAACTGAGCAGAGTTTCTTTCACCCGATGCTTCTGTTCACCTAGTAGTAAATAGGTACCTGGAAGTTAGACGGCTGCTACGGGCCGCTTTCTGGGGACGTGTGTGTATGTGGTGTGTAAGATAAATATATAGTAGATATGATAGATGGAAAAAGAGGTCGAGAGTCAGTACATTAGACAACTGAGGATTAGAAAGGCGAGATCCAAGAGCTATTAGCTCGATCCTGCAGGCACATATAGCAAATACACACACACAAAAGACGAGATATGGAAGGAAGCTAGGTAGACCAAATCTCACTGTGGATTCTACAGTATACTGTTGGAAGTCGGGACACCTCTATTATATATAACTGCTTAATACAGACAAAATACCTATCGAAGTCATGGGAAGAAATTGATTGACTCTAAAAGTCTCGACCCCTCGACCCCATGCATGTGAGGCAGAAGCTCTATCCACTTAGCTACAAATAGTCTCTTTTTTTTATCTCTTGCACATTGCACTCATGAAGGTGGTGTGTGTGCCGGGCAAGTCCAGGGGTGTGGGTTCGATCCCCATCGTATGGCTCAGTGTGTGTTGTCACCGGAGAGAATACCGTTCGTCACCTGAGACAGTCACGTGTCCAGTGAATATAACTACATTTTCCTAGCCTGCCAGAAGGCCCTTGATACAGTTCTCTACAAGCGTGTTATAAATGACTAAGAACCAAGATTTAATCACTAGACACTCTCAGCTAGATATAGTTTATCTACAGGAAAATAGTCACAGCGAGAGGCAGAATCAAGATGGAGGGAAGTGATACTGGCCCCCCCTCCTGTTTCTGATCATTCAGAAAGCTGTATACAACATAAGTAAGACCAGTACTTATATATGCAGCATCAATATAAAACCTTCACCTTTAAAAACACAAAACAAAATTAGAAAAAGGTTCAGAAATTTTCAACAAGATAGTTGATCTGTGAAGATGGACAAATATGTCCGACAATACACACACTAAAGAAATGAAGAACCAGAATCCAAGGAAAGGAAGGAAGGAAGGAAGGAATTATCAGGAGAAAACGCCAAGCTATAACGACTATATAGGACTGGGAAGGGGTCAGGATAAGGACATGGGATGGGACGAGGGGAAGGACTGGTGGCCAACCACTTGGACGGTCGGGGATTGAACGCCGACCTGCATGAAGCGAGACCGTCGCTCTACCGTCCACCTCAAGTGGTTGGAGAACCAGAGTTGAGAAGAACTAGATACCAGAAGACTCAAAAATAGACAAAATAGACCCCCCCCCCTCTCCCTTCCACTCTCCCAAGAAAAACCTTCCTTCTGCTCCAACCCTCCCCAGGTGGCCCACCTCCCCAGATGCCTCACCTCCCCAGGTGCCCCACCTCCCCAGGTGCCCCACCTCCCCAGGTGCCCCACCTCCCCAGGTGCCCCACCTCCCCAGGTGCCCCACCTCCCCAGGTGCCCCACCTCCCCAGATGCCCCACCTCCCCAGGTGCCCACCTCCCCAGGTGCCCACCTCCCCAGGTGCCCCACCTCCCCAGGTGCCCCACCTCCCCAGGTGCCCCACCTCCCCAGGTGCCCCACCTCCCCAGGTGCCCCACCTCCCCAGGTGCCCCACCTCCCCAGATGCCCCACCTCCCCAGGTGCCCCACCTCCCCAGGTGCCCCACCTCCCCAGATGGCCCACCTCCCCAGGTGCCCCACCTCCCCAGGTGCCCCACCTCCCCAGGTGCCCCACCTCCCCAGGTGGCCCACCTCCCCAGGTGGCCCACCTCCCCAGGTGCCCCACCTCCCCAGATGCCCCACCTCCCCAGGTGCCCCACCTCCCCAGGTGGCCCACCTACCCAGGTGCCCCACCTCCCCAGATGGCCCACCTCCCCAGGTGCCCCACCTCCCCAGGTGCCCCACCTCCCCAGGTGCCCCACCTCCCCAGGTGCCCCACCTCCCCAGGTGGGCCACCTCCCCAGGTGCCCCACCTCCCCAGGTGCCCCACCTCCCCAGGTGCCCCACCTACCCAGGTGCCCCACCTCCCCAGATGGCCCACCTCCCCAGGTGCCCCACCTCCCCAGGTGCCCCACCTCCCCAGGTGCCCCACCTCCCCAGGTGCCCCACCTCCCCAGATGCCCCACCTCCCCAGGTGCCCACCTCCCCAGGCGCCCCACCTCCCCAGGTGCCCCACCTCCCCAGGTGCCCCACCTACCCAGATGCCCCACCTCCCCAGATGGCCCACCTCCCCAGGTGGCCCACCTCCCCAGGTGCCCCACCTCCCCAGGTGCCCCACCTCCCCAGATGCCCCACCTCCCCAGGTGCCCCACCTCCCCAGGCGCCCCACCTCCCCAGGTGCCCCACCTCCCCAGATGCCCCACCTCCCCAGGTGCCCACCTACCCAGATGCCCCATCTCCCCAGGTGCCCACCTACCCAGGTCCTGCCAGCGCTGTGATCAGTGGCTAGTTCTTCAGGCAGCGTCTCGACGTTGGGGTTGACAGAGATGGGGGTTGAGGGTCTCTGGGGTGGGGCGGGCGTCAGCTCTGGGGCCAGCACCTCTCCAAGCTGAAGGTGGACAGAGTAACAAGGTGGTGTGGGATTAGTTGGCGGGGGAAATATTCAATTAGTAGCAAAAATAATCTTTGATGAGTCCTCTAACGATCAACGTTAGATGAGTGTGTACATTAGTGTGTCAGTGTAGAGTACACATCATGAGGAGTGTACATGGTAAGGAGTGAATACTGCCAAAAGTGTACATAATAATGAGTATACATGGTAAGGAGTGTACATTACCAAATGTGTATTCAACAGGGAAAGTACATCATGAGTGTACATCGTAAGGAGTTTACAGTAAAAAATGTACATCGCAAGGAGTATACAGTCAATAATGTACATTGCAACGATTGTACAACATGAAGAGTGTACATTGTGAACATTGTACGTAGTAAGGAGTATATGGTGTTTGTAATGTACATCATAAAAGTGTACATCATGAGTGTGCGTATGAGGCGTGTACATCATGAGTATAAATTATAAGTGTACATCATGTTGCGTGTACATTATACGGCGTGTACATTATACGGCGTGTACATTATACGGCGTGTACACTGTGACAAGTGTACATAATGATGGAGTGAAAAATGTGACGAGTGTGCACAATGAACATCATGAGTGCACACTGTGAGGAGTGTACATCATGAGTGTAGACTGAGTGCACATCATGATAAATGTACACTATGAGAAGTGTAGACTGTGATCAGTGTACACTGATGAGTGCACATCATGATGAGTGTAAAGGAGGAGGAAGAGAGGTGTACTGACCGTCACCTGCCGCCAGCCACGGGAGGCCCTCAGGAAGAGTGAGTCGTCGTCCAGGACGTAGGCCAGAGTGCCCCTCGAGTGTCTGGACCAGGCCTGGGGGGTTAGTACAGGCACTCGTGTCACTCTCTCTTGGCCCTGGCTGCCTCCTCTCACTCACTCACACACTTACACACACACACACACACTCACTCACACACTCACTCACGTACACACTTACACACACACACTCACTCACACACACACACACACACACACACACACACACACACACACACACACACACACACACACACACACACATCCTATCCTGTTTCTGATATACATAAATGATCTCCCAGAGGGTATAGACTCATTCCTCTCAATGTTTGCTGACGACGCCAAAATTATGAGAAGGATTAAGACAGAGGAGGACAGCTTGAGGCTTCAAGAAGACCTGGACAAGCTGCAGGAATGGTCGAACAAATGGCTGTTAGAGTTTAACCCAAGCAAATGTAATGTAATGAAGATAGGGGTAGGAAGCTGGAGACCAGATACAAGGTATCACTTGGGAGATGAAATACTTCAAGAGTCAGAGAGAGAGAAAGACCTGGGGTTGATATCACGCCAGACCTGTCCCCTGAAGCTCATATCAAGAGGATAACATCAGCAGCATATGCCAGGTTGGCTACCATGAGAACGGCCTTTAGAAACTTGTGTAAGGAATCTTTCAAAACATTATATACCACATATGTCAGACCAATCCTGGAGTATGCGGCTCCAGCATGGAGTCCATATCTAGTCAAGCATAAGACTAAACTGGAAAAGGTTCAAAGGTTTGCCACCAGACTAGTACCCGAGCTGAGAGGTATGAGCTACGAGGAGAGACTACGGGAATTGAACCTCACTTCGTTGGAAGACAGAAGTGTTAGGGGGGACATGATCACCACATTCAAGATTCTCAAGGGAATCGACAGGGTTGATAAAGACAGGCTATTTAACACAAGGGGCACACGCACTAGGGGACACAGGTGGAAACTGAGTGCCCAAATGAGCCACAGAGATATTAGAAAGAACTTTTCTAGTGTTTGAGTGGTTGACAAATGGAATGCATTAGGAAGCAATGTGGTGGAGGCTGACTCCATACACAGTTTCAAGTGTAGATATGATAGAGCCCAGTAGGGTCAGGAACCTGTACACCTGTTGATTGACGGTTGAGAGGCGGGACCAAAGAGCCAGAGCTCAACCCCCGCAAGCACAACTAGGTGAGTACAACTAGGTGAGTACACACACACACACACACACACACACACACACACACACACACACACACACACACACACACACACACACACACACACACACACACACACACACACACACATCCTTCTACCAAACAGTAGAAGGCCCAGGCAGGAGTACGAGGACAGCAACAAGACATGTATGGATGAACTGCAGAGGGCAGCAACTTTAGCGCATAGAATGAGAGCGAAGCTGCTGGTCATGGGGGACCTAAATCACGGAGAGATAGATTGGGAAACGAGGAATCCCCATGGCGGAGAGGAGACCTGGGGAGCGAAGCTGGTAGACGTTATTGACAGGAATTTCCTAACACAGCATGTGAAAGAAGATACTAGGGAAAGAGGAGGGGATACGCCCAGCCTATTACATCTCATTATCACTCAGAATGTAGAAGACATCGAGCAGTTGGAACATGAAATACCACTAGGAGCTAGTGACCATTGTGTCCTAGTCTTTGACTACGTGATGGAGCTTAAAATTGTGACCAAAGGACAAGAGGTCCGGGAAAGGAGACTTGATTACAGAAAAGGGGACTACAGAAGGATAAGGGACTACCTGGGAGAAGTGCAGTGGGAGGAAGAACTTAGAGGAAAAACAGTGCAAGGTATGATGAACCAAGTCATATTGAAATGCAAGGAGGCTGAAGATAGATTTATTCCAACAATAAAGGAAAAAAGCAGGAGGGAATATAATAACCCATGGTTTAATAGACAGTGTCAGGAAGCAAAGGTGAGAAGCAGGAGGGAGTGGAGGAAGTACAGAAGACAAAGGACAGAGGACAACAGGATTAGATGTAACAGAGCTAGGAATGATTACATTAACATAAGACGAGTGTCGGAAAGAAATTATGAGAACGATATTGCAGTCAAAGCGAAAAAGCAACCAAAATTACTACATAGCCATATAAGAAGGAAGATGTCGGTAAATGACCAAGTGACAAGACTGAGGAAAACAGAAGGGGCATATACAGAAAGCGACAAGGAAATCTGCGAGGTACTGAATGCAAAATTCCATGGAGTGTTCACAACCGAGCCTGAGCAGCTCCCATTGTTAGAAGAGATTACCCAAGATGAAAGACTATCAGATATAGAGGTGACAGCAGAGGATGTAATGAAACAGTTGACAACACTGGATGCAAATAAAGCTGTTGGACCAGACAAAGTATCACCGTGGATACTTAAAGAGGCAGCGCAGGCTCTCAGCGTGCCTCTGGCAATGATCTTTAATGAGTCACTTATGTCGGGAGAATTGCCCAGTTGCTGGAAGGAGGCAAATGTCGTACCGATTTTCAAAAAAGGTGATAGGGAGGAGGCACTTAACTACAGACCCGTATCACTGACAAGCATCCCCTGCAAAATACTTGAAAGAATAATTAGGCTAAGACTTGTTGAGCACCTGGAGAGCATTGGATTTGTAAACAAGCACCAACATGGGTTCTGGACAGGGAAATCATGCCTAACAAACCTTTTAGAATTCTATGATAAAGTAACAAGGATAAGGCAGGACAGAGAAGGCTGGGCAGACTGCATATTTCTTGACTGCCAAAAGGCCTTTGATACGGTACCGCACATGAGACTGCTATACAAACTTGAGAGGCAGGCAGGAGTAAGCGGAAAGGCCCTAGTATGGGTGAAGAACTACCTAACAGGAAGGAGCCAGAGGGTAATGGTAAGGGGCGAAAAGTCGGACTGGCGAACAGTAACAAGTGGAGTACCTCAAGGATCGGTGCTGGGACCAATCCTCTTTCTAATTTACGTAAATGATATGTTTACAGGAGTGGAATCATACATGTCAATGTTTGCAGATGACGCAAAATTAATGAGAAGAGTTGTGACAGACGAGGATTGTAGGATCCTCCAAGAGGACTTAAACAGGCTGCAGAGATGGTCAGGGAAATGGCTACTGGAGTTTAACACCAGTAAATGTAAAGTTATGGAAATGGGATCAGGTGACAGAAGACCAAAGGGACAGTACACAATGAAGGGGAACAGCCTACCTGTAACGATTCGAGAAAGAGACCTGGGAGTGGATGTGACACCTAATCTAACTCCTGAGGCACATATAAATAGGATAACGACAGCAGCGTACTCTACACTGGCGATAATTAGAACTTCATTCAGAAACCTAAATGAGGAAGCTTTTAGGGCGCTTTACACTGCCTACGTGAGACCCGTCTTAGAGTATGCCGCGCCATCATGGAGCCCCCACCTGAAGAAACACAAAGAAACTGGAGAAGGTTCAGAGGTTTGCGACGAGGCTTGTCCCAGAGTTACGAGGGATGGGATATGAAGAGCGGCTGAAGGAACTGAACCTTACGACACTAGAGAAAAGAAGGGAGAGAGGAGATATGATAGGGACATATAAAATACTCAGGGGAATTGACAAAGTGGAAATAGATGAAATGTTCACACGTAATAATAACAGAACGAGGGGACATGG